GCTTTGCCGCACGCCGGTTTTGGCGGCGGCGGCGGCGGCGGCGGCGGTCGCCCCGGTAGGAAGTGGCCGAGCCAGCCGGCGCTGTCGCCGCCGTCCGACGCCGCCGGTCGCTACGGGAACCAGGCGGCCGTGCGTGCGCTCGCGGGGCTGTTTGGTAATAGCGGTAACAATCGGAGCTAGCGGTGTGTGTGTGTGTGTGGTGCGTGCGTGTGTGCCGGGGTGGGTCGGGGTGTGTGTGTGTGTGGGGAGCGGTGGTGCAGCGGTTAGCGCTACGCTGCGCTACGAACCCGACGACCCGGGTTCGATTCCCGCTCACGGCCAACACCGGCGGTGACGATTATCTGAACCGGTACCTGGGCCTCCCCTAGGTCGACTCAGGCTCAAGTGAGTTACCTGGTGTAGCGGTGGTGTAGTGAACATCGCCACTGGGGGAGACAAAGGCGGCCGGGCGTGGTGCTGGTAGCCACCCCCTCGTGTGTCACAGCGCCGGTAGCCTTCATAGGTGCTCGCTAACAGCACTTGCCCCGACAGCCTGTTGGAGGCTACACGGGGGACCTTTGTCTGTGTCTACCTTCATAGGTGCTGCTGCTACTCGCTACTAACAGCACTTGCCCCAGCAGTCTGTAGAGACTACACGGGGTCTCTGTGTGAGTCTGTGGGTCTGTGTGCGAGTCTGTGGTTCTCTGTGCGTGTCTGTGGGTCTCTGTGTGAGTCTGTGGGTCTGTGTGCGAGTCTGTGGGTCTCTGTGTGAGTCTGTGGGTCTGTGTGCGAGTCTGTGGGTCTCTGTGTGAGTCTGTGGGTCTGTGTGCGAGTCTGTGGTTCTCTGTGCGTGTCTGTGGGTCTCTGTGTGAGTCTGTGGGTCTGTGTGCGAGTCTGTGGGTCTCTGTGTGAGTCTGTGGGTCTGTGTGCGAGTCTGTGGTTCTCTGTGCGTGTCTGTGGGTCTCTGTGTGAGTCTGTGGGTCTGTGTGCGAGTCTGTGGGTCTCTGTGTGAGTCTGTGGGTCTCTGTGTGAGTCTGTGGGTCTCTGTGTGAGTCTGTGGGTCTGTGTGCGAGTCTGTGGTTCTCTGTGCGTGTCTGTGGGTCTCTGTGTGAGTCTGTGGGTCTGTGTGCGAGTCTGTGGGTCTCTGTGTGAGTCTGTGGTTCTCTGTGCGTGTCTGTGGGTCTCTGTGTGAGTCTGTGGGTCTGTGTGCGAGTCTGTGGGTCTCTGTGTGAGTCTGTGGTTCTCTGTGCGTGTCTGTGGGTCTCTGTGTGAGTCTGTGGGTCTGTGTGCGAGTCTGTGGGTCTCTTTGCGGGTCTGTGTGTGAGTTTGAGTCTCTGCATGAGTCTGTGGGTCTCTGTGTGAGTCTGTAGGTCTCTGTGTGAGTCTATGGGTCTCTGTGTGAGTCTGTGGGTCTCTGCGTGAGTCTGTGGGTGTCTGTGTGGGTCTGTGTGAGTCTGTGGGTCTCTGTGTGAATTTGTGGGTCTCTGTGTGAGTCTGTGGGTCTCTGTGTGAGTCTGTGGGTCTCTGTGTGAGTCTATGGGTCTCTGTGTGAGTCTATGGGTCTCTGTGCGAGTCTGTGTGTCTCTGTGCGAGTCTGTGGGTCTCTGTGCGAGTCTGTGGGTCTCTGCGTGAGTCTGTGGGTCTCTGCGTGAGTCTGTGGGTCTCTGCGTGAGTCTGTGGGTCTATGTGTGAGTCTGTGGGTCTCTGCGCGAGTCTGTGGGTCTCTGTGTGAGTCTGTGGGTCTCTGCGTGAGTCTGTGGGTCTCTGCGTGAGTCTGTAGGTCTCTGTGTGAGTCTGTGGGTCTCTGTGTGAGTCTATGGGTCTCTGTGTGAGTCTATGGGTCTCTGTGTGAGTCTGTGGGTTTCTGTGTGAGTCTGTGGGTTTCTGTGTGAGTCTATGGGTCTGTGTGAGTCTGGGTCTCTGTGTGCACGGGTCTGTGGGTCTGTGTGAGTCTGTGAGTCTGTGGGTCTCTGTGTGAGTCTGTGGGTCTCTGTGTGAGTCTATGGGTCTCTGTGTGAGTCTGTGGGCCTCTGTGAGAGTCTATGGGTCTCTGTGTGAGTCTGTGGGTCTCTGTGTGAGTGTGGTTCTCTGCGTGAGTCTGTGGGTCTCTGTGTGAGTCTGTGGGTCTCTGTGTGAGTCTGTGCGATTCTGTGGGTCTCTGTGCGATTCTGTGGGTCTCTGTGCGATTCTGTGGGTCTCTGTGCGAGTCTGTGGGTCTCTGTGCGAGTCTGTGGGTCTCTGTGCGAGTCTGTGGGTCTCTGTGAGTCTGTGGGTCTCTGCGTGAGTCTGTGGGTCTCTGTGTGAGTCTGTGGGTCTCTGTGTGAGTCTGTGGGTCTCTGTGTGAGTCTGTGGGTCTCTGTGTGAGTCTGTGGGTCTCTGTGTGAGTCTGTGCGAGTCTGTGGGTCTCTGTGCGAGTCTGTGGGTCTCTGCGCGAGTCTGTGGGTCTCTGCGTGAGTCTGTGGGTCTCTGCGTGAGTCTGTGGGTCTCTGCGTGAGTCTGTGTGTCTCTGCGTGAGTCTGTGGGTCGCTGTGCGAGTCTGTGGGTCTCTGCGTGAATCTGTGGTTCCCTGCGTGAGTCTGTGGGTCTCTGTGTGAGTCTGTGGGTCTCTGTGTGAGTGTGGGTCTCTGCGTGAGCCTGTGGGTCTCTGCGTGAGTCTGTGGGTCTCTGCGTGAGTCTGTGGGTCTCTGCGTGAGTCTGTGGGTCTCTGTGTGAGTCTGTGGGTCTCTGTGTGAGTCTGTTGGTCTCTGTGTGAGTCTGTGGGTCTCTGTGTGAGTCTGTGCGAGTCTGTGGGTCTCTGTGCGAGTCTGTGGGTCTCTGTGCGAGTCTGTGGGTCTCTGCGTGAGTCTGTGGGTCTCTGCGTGAGTCTGTGGGTCTCTGCGTGAGTCTGTGGGTCTCTGCGTGAGTCTGTGGGTCTCTGCGTGAGTCTGTGTGTCTCTGCGCGAGTCTGTGGGTCTCTGCGCGAGTCTGTGGGTCTCTGCGTGAGTCTGTGGATCTCTGCGTGAATCTGTGGTTCCCTGCGTGAGTCTGTGGGTCTCTGTGTGAGTCTGTGGGTCTCTGTCTGAGTCTGTGGGTCTCTGCGTGAGTCTGTGTGTCTCTGCGTGAGTCTGTGTGTCTCTGCGTGAGTCTGTGGGTCTCTGCGTGAGTCTATGGGTCTCTGTGTGAGTCTGTGGGTCTCTGTGTGAGTCTATGGGTCTCTGCGTGAGTCTGTGGGTCTCTGCGTGAGTCTGTGGGTCTCTGTGTGAGTCTGTGGGTCTCTGTGTGAGTCTGTGGGTCTCTGTAGGTGATTCCCGCTCACGGCCACCGTAGTTTGTTGTGCCAAATATACATGCCAAATGCATACCACGTGTATACAACAAACATACATACCACATGTATGCAAAAAACACGCATGCCACACGCATGCCACACGCATACCACGTGGTTTCTTGTCTACTCCGGGCCCTTCGTTCCCCCCTTCCGCCCTGCTTCCACGCGAACGAGTCACCCCGTCGCGCTAGCGGCGTTCGACAAGTGCGCGCGCGTGTGTCCGCGTGCGGAATTTGCGTGCATAACGTGCGTGCGTACGCGCGTGTGTGTCCGCGTGCATGTATACTTGTGTGCGTACTTGCCTACTTGTGTGCGTGCGTACTTGTGTGCGTGCATACTTGCCTACTTGCGTGCGTGCGTACTTGTATGCGTACGTGCGTGTGTACTTGCGTGCGTGCGTACTTGCCTACTTGCGTGCGTACTTGTGTGCGTACGTGTGTGTGTACTTGCGTGCGTGTATACTTGCGTGTGTGTGTCCGCGTGCGTGCGTACTTGCCTACTTGCGTGTGTGCGTACTTGTGTGCGTACTTGTGTGTATACTTGCGTGCATGCGTCCGCATGCGTGTGTACTTGCGCGGCGGTCTCCCTGGTTTCCGTAGCGTGGTTGTGGTTAGTGTGGTTGTGGTTGGTGTGGTTGTGGTTAGCGTGATTGTGGTTGTTGTGGTTAGCGTGATTGTGGTTGTGGTTGTTGTGGTTAGCGTGGCGGTGGTGGTTGTGGTTTGCGGGTGATTGTGGTGCCAAGTCTGGCAGCTTCCCCCCCCCGGTTGTGGTCGTGAGAGTTGTGGTGGTGGTGGTGGTGGCGGCTCCGGAACGTTAAGTTTGCGTTGTGGCCCTCTGTTCTGTCTGCTGTGGTTGTAGTGTGGCGTGTTTGGGGTTAGCGTGGTTACGGTTGGCGTGGTTACGGTTGGCGTGGTTACGGTTGGCGTGGTTACGGTTGGCGTGGTTACGGTTGGCGTGGTTAGCGTGGTTGCGGTGAGCGTGGACGTGGTTGTTGTGGTTAGCGTGGTCGTGGTTGTGTTGGTTGTGTCTCTCGTGTGTTTGCGGTGGTCATTTGCGGTTGATGTGTGTGGTTGTGGTGGTTGTGGTGGTTGTGGTTCGCGCGATACCTCGGCCTGGTGATTACGGTTAGCATCGTTGTGGTGGTTGTGGTTACGGTTGGCATGGTTGTGGTGGTTGTTCTGGTTACGGTTGGCGTGGTTGTGGTGGTTGTGGTTACGGTTGGCATGGTTGTGGTGGTTGTGGTTACGGTTGGCATGGTTGTGGTGGTTGTGGTTATGGTTGGCGTCGTTGTGGTGGTTGTGGTTGCGGGTTACCGTGTTTGTGGTTATCGTGGTTGTGGCCGTTGTGGTGATTGTTGTTCGCACGATTGTGGCAGTTGCGGTTCGCGACACTGTGGTTGTGGCCGTGGTGGTTGTGACTGGCGGTGGTCGTGACTGGCGGTGGTCGTGGCCGTGCTAGTTGTGGCCGTGGTGGTTGTGGCCGTGGTGGTTGTGGCCGTTGTGGTTGTGGCCATGGTGGTTGTGGCTGGCGGCTCGCGGTCATGGCCGTTGTGTTGCGGTCGGTCCGGGTGATCGCGGTCACGCAACCGCTAGAAGCCCCTTCCTCTGGCGCCCACGTGACCCCCCCCACCCCCCACCGTTCACACGTAGCGACGGCCCCACCCCCCATCCCCACCGCGCCCCTCCCCCCCCGCACCTCCGCCGACGGTGCCGCAGGTCCAGTTGCGCTCCCTTAGAGGTGCCGCGCTACAGCAGCAGCAGCAGCAGCAGGCGCAAGCGGCCCCCCGCAACCCCCCCTCCGCCGTCGTGCAGCCCCCCGAAACCATCCACTTTCACGGCGGCGGCGCCGGCTTCTCGCACCGCGCCGGCGCCGGGGGGCCCCGGCAAACGTCCCTGGAGGCGCCGGCGGCGGCGGCGTCGTCGGCCGACGAGTTGTTTCTGTCGGCGTCGGCGCCCGGCAACGCCCTGCGAGAGGCGCTACGGAGGAGGAGCAGGGGCCAGCGGCTGTCGGTGTCATCGGAGGACGTGCGGGCGGAAGCCGAGATGCCTGCGTGGCACCAGCAGCAGCAGCAGCAGCAGCACCAGCACCAGCAGAAGCAGCAGCAGCAGAAGCCCAGCGCCAGCGCTTGGCAGCCGTCGGAGAAGATCACTTTCACTCCCTTCGCCCGGCAAGATGCCAAGGCTCAAGCGGCCCCAGCGATGCAGCACCAGCACCAGCAGGGAGCCCCCCACCACCCGCAGGGCGCCCCTCAGCACCAGCAGGGAGTCCCTCAGCACCAGCAGGGAGCCCCTCAGCACCAGCAGGGCACCCCCCAGAAGCCCCAGCAGCAGCAGAAATGGTTCCAGGTGCGGGTTTTCCCACCGTACCGCGGGTCGCTGGACGACCAGGGCGTGCCGGCTCCGGCGCCGGCTCCGGCTCCGGCGGGGCTGGCGCGCAGCTCGTCGTGCCGCCTGCGCGCCGCCCGCCGCTCCGTCTCCTCCGAGGACGTGCGGCTCGACGACGGGTGGGCCGCCGTGCCGGCACCGCTGGCGCCGCTGGCGCGGGGGGGGCTGGCGCCCGAGATGGCGGCGTCCAGCCCGGCGCTGGCGGCGGCGCCGACCGGCGGGAAGATCGCCGCCGTCTCCGTGCCGGCGCTGCCGCCCAAGCGCCCCCCCCCTCCCGCCGTGGGGGGGCGACGCGGCGGCGCTGGCGGTGCCGGCGGCGGGGGGGGCGGTTTGCGTCGGCCGTGGAGCTGTCGGCGTGGAGCCGCGTCGGCCGGGTCGAGGTGCCGCCGGAGCCGCTAGCGCCGACACAGCCGCTAGCGCCGGCGCCGCGCGGCAGCGCCGCGGTGCACACCTCGGCCCTGTCCCTGTCGGGCGCGGCCTTCGTGGAGATGATCACCAGGCGGCGGTCCCGGGAGGTGGAGGCGGCCAATGAGCCGGGAGGCCCTCGGGCGCCGGCCGCCGGCGCCGAGCGTCGCTCCGCGTCCATGGACGACGTCGCCGCCGGCGCCGGCGTCGCCGCCCCTCGGCCCTCGGCCGTCGCCGCCCCGTCGGCGCCGATGGCCTCCTCGCTCTCCGCCTCGTCCGTCGCGATGGCGACGCCGCCGCCGCCGCCGCTGCCGCCCAAGAGCCGGTCCCGGGGCTCCTCGCCGGCCGGCACCCCGGCGGCGCCGCGCCGGCAACTCGCCGCCAGCACTCCCCACATCACCTTGACGGCGCCGGGGCCAGGCCGCCCCCCACCGCCGAGGATACCGCCGGACGGCGTCGCGAGCGTCACGGCCACGCCGGACGCCAAGGAGGCCGGTTTTCCTCGCTACTTTTGAACGCTTGCGCCTCCTCGGTGATTCTGGTGCCGGTGCTCTCCTGGTGCTGCTGCTGGTGCTGCTGGTGCTGCTGGTGGTGGTGCGGGATCGATCGGATTGCCAATCGGGGAGGGCTCTCTTTCGCTCGCCGGCTCCTGGTCGATGGGAAGCGGACGCTGGGTTTAAGGTGACACCGGTGTCGGGGGGGGTGACGCCGGTGCGGTGACGCCGGTGCCGGCCGCGGCGAGGCCCTCTCGGCGGTGAGGCCGGGGCGAGCGGTGGCGCCGTGGCGAGGTCTCGCGTTGGCTGCGGCTCCGTGACGGGGTTTTGATTGCGGTGGCCGGGGCTGGTTCGGTGTCGTCCCGGTGATTCTCGGTGTTCGGTGGTTCTCTCTCTCTGTGCGGTGATTCTCGGTGTCCGGTGATTCTCGGCGTGGGCCAATCCTTAATGCTTGTGGTGTCACCGGGGTGATGATACCCCGGTGGTGCTGGTGGTGGTGGTGGTGATGGTTGTGGTGGTGGTGCTGGTGGTGGTGCTGGTGCTGGTTCGGTGTCATCCCGGTGATTCTTGGTGCCGGTGGTTCTCTTTCTGTGCGGTGGTTCTCTCTCTGTGCGGTGATTCTCGGCGTGGGCCAATCCTTGATGCTTGTGGTGTCACCGGGGTGATGATACCCCGGTGGTGGTGCTGGTGGTGCTGGTGGTGGTGGTGGTGATTGGTGGTGGTTGTTTGCGGGACTGCAATGGTTCGTTTGCTGCTTTGACGAGGGCTGATTCCTGGTCTTCGATTCTTCCCCCCCCCCCCCCCCCATGTATCAGTCTCCGTGTGTGTCTCCGTCTCTCGCTGTGTGTGTGTGTCTGTGTGTGTGTGTTTCCATCTGTGTGTGTGTCTGTGTGTGTGTCTGTCTGTGTGTGTGTGTCTGTCTGTGTGTGTCTGTGTGTGTGTGTCTGTCTGTGTGTGTCTGTCTGTGTGTGTGTGTCTGTCTGTGTGTGTCTGTCTGTGTGTGTCTGTCTGTGTGTCTGTCTGTGTGTGTCTGTCTGTGTGTGTGTCTGTGTGTGTCTGTGTGTCTGTCTGTGTGTGTGTGTCTGTGTGTCTGTGTGTGTGTGTGTGTCTGTGTGTGTGTCTGTGTGTGTCGATCTGTTTGTGTGTTTCCATCTGTGTCTGTCTGTCTGTGTGTGTCTATCTGTGTGTGTGTCTGTGTCTATCTGTGTGTGTCTATCTGTGTGTGTGTCTGTGTCTATCTGTGTGTGTCTATCTGTGTGTGTGTCTGTGTCTATCTGTGTGTGTCTATCTGTGTGTGTCTATCTGTGTGTGTGTCTGTGTCTATCTGTGTGTGTCTATCTGTGTGTGTGTCTGTGTCTATCTGTGTGTGTCTATCTGTGTGTGTGTCTGTGTCTATCTGTGTGTGTATATCTGTGTGTGTGTCTGTCTCACACCCTGCACCTTGCACCACAGACGATGAAGTTGCTCATTTTGTGTCTCCCCTCCCCCCCATGCTCCCCCCCTGCCCCCCCTGCTCCCCCTGCCCCCCCTGCCCCCCGTGCCCCCCCTTGCCCCCCGTGCCCCCCCTTGCCCCCTGTGCCCCCCCCTTGCCTCCCCCTTGCCCCCTGTGCCCCCCTCCCCCCCATGCTCCCCCCCTGCCCCCCCTGCTCCCCCTGCCCCCCCTGCCCCCCGTGCCCCCCCTTGCCCCCCGTGCCCCCCCTTGCCCCCTGTGCCCCCCCCTTGCCTCCCCCTTGCCCCCTGTGCCCCCCTCCCCCCCATGCTCCCCCCCTGCCCCCCCTGCCCCCCCTGCCCCCCGTGCCCCCCCTTGCCCCTTGTGCCCCCCCCTTGCCCCCCCTTTGCCCCCCCCTTGCCCCCCGTGCCCCCCCTTGCCTCCCCCTTGCCCCTCCCTTGCCCCCCCCCTTGCCCCTTGTGCCCCCCCCCTTGCCCCCCCTTGCCCCCCCCGTGCCCCCCCCTTGCCTCCCCCTTGCCCCCCCCTTGCCCCCCCTTGCCCCCCGTGCCCCCCCCTTGCCTCCCCCTTGCCCCTCCCTTGCCCCCCCCCTTGCCCCTTGTGCCCCCCCCCTTGCCCCCCCCTTGCCCCCCCGTGCCCCCCCCTTGCCTCCCCCTTGCCCCCCCCTTGCCCCCCCTTGCCCCTTGTGCCCCCCCCTTGCCCCCCCTTGCCCCCCCTTGCCCCCCGTGCCCCCCCTTGCCTCCCCCTTGCCCCCCCTTGCCCCCCCCTTGCCCCTTGTGCCCCCCCCTTGCCCCCCCTTGCCCCCTGTGCCCCCCCCTTGCCCCCCCCTTGCCCCCTGTGCCCCCCCCGTGCCCCCCCCGTGCCCCCCCTGCAGGTGCAGGCTCGCTCCCAGATGAACAAGGGGGCTGGGGGCTGCTCCCCGCTGCTGCCCCCCAAGGGGCTGCCGAGGGGGGGGGCTGGCGGGGACCCCCCCCGCTCCGAGTCCTTCTCGACCAATCAGGCGGCTCGCACGCCGCCCATGGCTCGCGCCGTCGAGACGCAGGTGCGGTCCTGGGACTCCCCTAGGTCGACTCGGCCTCAAACGAGTGGCTGGTGTAGCGGCGGCAGTGGAGTGAACGTCGCCACTGGGGAGACAAAGGCGGCCGGGCGTGGTGATGGCGGTTGCCTGTGGTTGCGTGTGGTTGCCTGTGGTTGCGTGCGGTTGCCTGTGGTTGCGTGTGATTGCGTGCGGTTGCCTGTGTTTGCGCTACACGGGTTGCGTGTGATTGCGTGCGATTGCATGTGGTCGCGCAACCCGTGTTGCGTGTGATTGCGTGTGATTGCGTGTGCTCGTGCAACCCGTGTTGCGTGCGTCTGCAGGTGCAGAGTGCCCATGTGGTGTCCCTGAAGCCGCCCCCCGCGCCGCTCGGCGTCGCCACGCCTCCCGTGGTGCCGCGCTCGCAGTCGCTGCACGAGCAGCAGCCCGGCGTCACCGGGCCCACGCCGGCACAGGACGCCGCCGCCGCCGCCGCCGCGGCCACGGCACCACCGCCATTGGCCTCCTCTTCCTCTACGGCGGCGACGACGGTGGCGGTGGCAGCCGCACGGCAAGACACGGAGCTCTCGTCGCCGGACGCTCCACCCCCGGCGCCGCCGCCGCGTCTGGTCGGGTCCGAAGATGCCAGGGCCGGCGGCGGTGGTGGCGGCGGTGGTGGTGGTGGCGGTGGTGGCGGTGGTGGCGGCGGTGGTGGTGGCGGTGGTGGCGGTGGTGGTGGCGGTGGTGGCGGTGGTGGTGGTGGCGGTGGTGGTGGTGGCGGTGGTGTCGCGGGCGTCTGGGGCAAAGCGGCGGACGGAGAGGAGCCTCCACCAAGGGTGAGAGGGGGCGGGGGGGGGGGCACGTGGGGGTTGTGGGGGGTTGGGGGGGCATTGGGGAAGGTTGTGGGGGGGGGACACGGGGGGAGTTGTGGGGGTGACGTGGAGTGATTGTGTTGGGGGGCACGGGGGGGTTGTGGGGGGGGGCACGGGGGGGTTGTGGGGGGGGGCACGGGGATAGTTGTGGGGGGGCACGTGGGGGGTGGGGGGGGGAGTTGTAGGGGGTTGGGGGGGGGGCACGTGGGAGGGCACGGGAAGGTTGTGGGGGGGGCAGAGTTGTGGGGGGTGGGGGGGGCACGTGGGGGGGGGGCACGGGGGGAGTTGTGGGGTGCTGCCTGCTAACAGCACTTGCCCCAGCGGTCTGTGAAGGCTACACTGTGTGTGTGGGGGCTCCCTTTGTCTTTGTGTGCAGGTGCCCCCCAGGACGACGTCGCGCTCCCCGGCGGTGCCGCGCCGGGAGCCCCCCACTAACGGTGGGGGGCTCAAGCCGGCCAGGTGAGGGATCGCCACCACCACTCACCACTCACCACCACTCACCACCACTCACCACCACTCACCATCACTACCACTCACCACCGCTCACCACTCGCCACCACTCACCACCACTCACCATCACTCACCATCACTACCACTCACCATCACTCACCATCACTCACCATCACTACCACTCACTACCACTCACTACCACTCACCACCACCGCTCACCACCGCTCACCAGCACTCACCACCACTCACCACCACTCACCAGCACTCACCACCACTCACCACCACCACTCGCCACCACTCACCACCACTCACCACCACTCACCACCACTCACCACCACCACTCACCACCACTCACCACCACCGCTCACCAGCACCGCTCACCACTCACCACCACTCACCACCACTCACCACCACTCACCACCACCACTCACCACCACTCACCACCACCGCTCACCAGCACCGCTCACCACTCACCACCACTCACCACCACTCACCACCACTCACCACCACCACTCACCACCACTCACCACCACCGCTCACCAGCACCGCTCACCACTCACCACCACTCACCACCACCACTCGCCACCACTCACCACTCACCATCACCATCACTCACCACCACTGCTACTACCACTCACCACCACCACTCACCACTCACCATCACCATCACTCACCACCACTGCTACTACCACTCACCACCACCACTCACCACCACTGCTACTACCACTCACCACTCACCACCGCTCACCACCACTCAATAAAGGATGGGTGATGATGAATGATAATTGATTGATGGATGATTGATGGATGATTGATGGATGATTGATGGATGATTGATGGATGGACGATGATTGATCAATACTGGATGAACGATGATTTATGACGATCAACAATGGATGGGACGATTGATGGACAATGACGGATGATGATTGTGTCCGATAGCCGACCGACGGATGATCGATTGATTTGACGGTGATTTGTGCTCCTAACACCCCCCCAGCACACCGGAGTTGAAGCGTGCCGAAGCCTGGCAGGCCAGCGGTGTGGCCGGCGCTGGTGGTGGTGGTGGCGGTGGTGGCGGTGGTGGTGGTCACAGCAGCGGCAGCTCCAGCAGTTCCAGCACCCCCAGCTCCCAGCCGGGGTCACACACGGGGTCAAGCGAGCGCGCACGCCACCGCGGTACGATGCTCACCACCACCACCACCACTCTCGCTCCTCACCATCGCTCCTCACCACCCTCACCACTCTCACCACCCTCGCTCCTCACCATCGCTCCTCACCATCCTCACCACTCTCATTACTCTCACTCCTCACCATCGCTCCTCACCCTCGCTCCTCACCATCCTCACCACTCTCACCACCCTCGCTACTCACCATCGCTCCTCACCACCCTCACTACTCACCACCACCCTCACCACCACCCTCACCACCACCCTCACCCTCGCTACTCACCACCACCATCCTCACCACCCTCACCACCACCCTCGCTACTCACCACCCTCACCACCACCCTCGCTACTCACCATCACCATCCTCACCACCCTCGCGACTCACCACCCTCATCACCCTCACCCTCACCACCCTCACCACCACCCTCGCTCCTCACCACCCTCACCACCACCCTCACTACTCACCATCGCTCCTCACCACCCTCACCACCACCCTCGCTCCTCAACACCCTCACCACCACCCTCACTACTCACCATCGCTCCTCACCACCCTCACCACCACCCTCGCTACTCGCCACCACCATCCTCACCCTCCTCACCACCACCCTCACTCCTCACCACCCTCGCCCTCTTCACCACCACCCTCGCCCTCTTCACCACCACCCTCATTCCTCACCCTCACCCCCTCTCGCTCCTCACCACCACCCTCCTCACCCCCTTGCTCCTTACCCTCGGTCCTCACCACCACCACCACCCTCGCCCTCCTCCTCACCATCACCCCCTCTCACTCCTCACCACCCTCACTGTGTGCTGTGGGGGGTGGCGCTGTGCCACTCGATGTGCCGTGTTGCCGTGGCACGGTGCTGCATGTGCTGTAGTGCGGTGGTGATGGTGCGGTGGTGTGGTGCTGCATGTGCCGTGGTGCGGTGGTGGTGGTGTGTTGTGCCGTGTTGCTGTGTCGCGGTGTTGCAGGTGGTGGTGGTGGTGGTGGTGTGGTGGTGGTGGTGTGGTGATGGGTGGTGGGTGGTGCGGTGGTGGTGCGGTGGTGTGGTGGTGATGGTGTGGTGTGGTCGTTGTGGTGTGCGGTGGTGGTGGTGCGGTGGTGTGGTGGTGCCGTGGTGGTGATGGTGCGGTGGTGGTGATGGTGGTGGTGGTGGTGCAGGTCTGGCCCGGCAGGACGGCTCCCCCATGCTGACCCACGC